GTGCAGGCGCTGTACTTCCCACCTCCAGAGTGCAGGCACTGTACTTCCCACCTCCAGAGTGCAAGTACTGTACTTCCCATCACCAGAGTGCAGGCAGTGTACTTCCCACCTCCAGAGTGCAGGCACTGTACTTCCCACCTCCAGAGTGCAGGCACTGTACTTCCCACCTCCAGAGTGCAGGTACTGTACTTCCCACCTCCAGAGTGCAGGCACTGTACTTCCCACCTCCAGGATTCAAGTCCGGCCAGCCAGTTTACCTGAATCCCGGCTCACACTCTAACAGCACATTAAGTCATAAAAACCACTTGTCTCCACTTACTCGTATCTAACTCGCTCACGCACACTTGCTGGACGTCCAAGCCTCTAGCACATAAAGCCTCCTTTACCCCCTCCCTCCAACCTTTCCTAGGCCGACCCCTACCCCACCTTCCCCCCACTCCAGATTTATACACTCTCCAGGTCATTCTATGTTGTTCCCTGCCTCTCTAAATGTCCGAACCACCTCAACAACCCCTCTCTGTACCTCCTCAACAACCCCTCTCTGTACCTCCTCAACAACCCTCTCTGTACTCCTCAACAACCCTCTCTGTACCTCCTCAACACAACCCTCTCTGTACCTCTCAACAACCTCTCTGTACCATCCTCAACAACCCTCTCTGTACCTCCTCAACAACCCCTCTCTGTACCTCCTCAACAACCCCTCTCAGTACCTCTTCAACCCCTCTCAGTACCTCCTCAACAGCCCCTCTCAGTACCTCCTCAACAACCCTTCAGTACCTCCTCAACAACCCTCTACAGTACCTCTTCAACCCTCTCGGTACCTCATCAACCCTCTCAGTACCTCAACAACCCCTCCAGTACCTCCTCAATCAGCCCCTCTCAGTTTCCTCCTCAACAACCCATCTCTGTACCTCTTCAACAACCCTCTCAGTATCCTCCTCAACAACCCTCTCAGTACCTCAACAACCCCTCTCAGTACCTCCTCAACAACCCTCTCAGTACCTCAACAGCCCCTCTCAGTACCTCTTCAACAACCCCTCTCAGTACCTCCTCAACAACCCCTAGAGTACCCCCAACAACCCCTCTCAGTACCTCAACAACCCTCTGAGTACCTCAACAACCCCTCTCAGTACCTCTTCAACAACCCCTCTCAGTACCTCCTCAACCCCTCTCAGTAACTCAACAACCCCTCTCAGTACCTCTTCAACAACCCCTCTCAGTACCTCCTCAACAACCCCTCTCAGTACCTCAACAACCCCTCTCAGTACCTCAACAACCCTCTCAGTACCTCAACAACCCTCTCAGTACCTCTTCAACAACCCTTCTCAGTACCTCTCAACCCCTCTCAGTAACTCAACCCCTCTCAGTACCTCTTCAACAACCCCTCTCAGTTACCTCAAACAACCTCTCAGTAACTCAACCCCTCTCAGTACCTCTTCAACAACCCCTCTCAGTACCTCAACAACCCCTCTCAGTACCTCAACAACCCCTCTCAGTACCTCAACAACCCCTCTCAGCACCACCTCAACAACCCCTCTCAGCACCACCTCAACAACCCCTCTCAGCACCACCTCAACAACCCCTCTCAGCCCACCTCAACAACCCCTCTCAGCATCACCTCAACAACCTCTCCTCAGCACCACCTCAACAGCCTTCCTCAGTACCACCTCAACAACCCTTCCTCAGCATCACCTCAACAACCTCTCCTCAGCACCACCTCAACAACCTCTCCTCAGCACCACCTCAACAACCTCTCCTCAGCACTCTGAATAATACCTTTAGTACACAAATAACCCGCACATAAAAGACAGAAGCTTACGACGACGTTTCGGTCCGACTTGGACCATTGACAAAGTCACACTAACAGGGGAGGAGCAGGACGGCTATATATAGGCAGGAAATGGAGGTGAGTAGTAGTAGTGGTAGTAGTAGTAGTAGTAGTAGTAGTAGTACAAGAATTGTATATAATACCGACAGGAGGAAATGACACACGCACAACACCCGGGCATCCTCACCGTAGACGTTTCGCCATCCAGCCAGCCACTGGATGGCAAAAACGTCCACAACAAAGACAACCAGACGCCGCACATGTGTCTAATTTCATCAGTAGTTGTAGTAGAAGAAGAAGAGGTAGTAGTAGTGGTATGTGTAGAAGGGGGAAAAATAAGGAAGACGACCAGTCAAATAAAAAGGAAGGGGGAGCACTGCAAGAGAGCTGAAACCCACAGAGGGAGAGCAAGCGCACCGAGGTGCTGAAAGGGGGAAGTGGTAAATAAAATAAAGAAGGAACAGAAACACGAGACAGGAGAGAGAAAGACAACCCAGAGGAGAAAAGGAAGAGAGGAAAGGGAAGTAGGAAGAAGAAAAAGAAGAAGAAGAAGAAAAAATGAGGAATCAGGTTAAGTCACGGTGTTCTGAAGTTTGGAGCATTTTACAAATAGTGGGGAAGGAAGGCATCTACAGAGACGAAGCCAGGGCTAAGGTTCTACAAGGAAAGTTTTTGTATAAGAAAAGATTCAACTAAACGGCGACTGTTCGAGTTGGAAAGTAGGGAAGACAGTGTTAGCAGAAGACCAGTCAATAGGATGGCAAATGATCTCTGACGTGACAGAAAGAGCATTGTTAGTGTCGGCAAGCCTAACACTATTTTTGTGCCCCCTAAGTCTGTCAGAAAGAGAACGCCAGTTTCTCCAAATATTGAAGAGGACAGGGGGAGCAAGAAATAGAGTTAGACACCAGGAACATCTGTAGAGGGAGGAGAGGTATGAACGAGATTAGTGCGAAGAGTGTTAGTCTGGCGGAAGGTAAGCTTGATGTCTAAGGGACGGAGAGAATTGTTGAGATTAGAAAGACCGGAAATGTAGGGAAGGCAGAGGATAGAAGAGTTCCCATGAGTAGAGAGTTTGGGAGAGAAGAAATTGCGTTTAGCACGTGAGAGGGCAGAGTCTATGAAATGGGAAGGGTAGCCAAGACGGGAGAACGAATTATAAAGAGTGGAAATTTCTGCTGGAAGGAACTGAGGATCACAGATGCGGAGGGCACGGAGAAAGAGGGAGATAAGAACACTTTTCTTGACATCTTTGTGTATCGTTCCAGTCACGGTATTGTGCCTTTTTGTTATTTAAATACCTTTAGTAACTCCGCACCTCCTCCTAATCTCCAGCTATGGATTCTCTGCATTATATTCACAGCACACATTGCAATCAGACACGACATCTCCACTACCTCCAGCCTCCTCCACTACCTCCAGCCTTCTTGTTACAACATTCATCAACCATGCTTCACACCCATATAATAGTGTTGGTATAACTATACTCTCATACATTCCCATCTTTGCTTCCATGGACAAAGTTCTTTGTCCCCTCAGACTCCTCAGAGCACCACTCACCTTTTTCCCCTCATCAGCGCTATGATTCACCTCATCTTTCATAGACACATCTGCTGACATGTTCACTCCTAAATATCTGAATACATTCACCTCCTCCATACTCTCTCTCTCCAATCTGATATCCAATCTTTCATTACCTAACTTTCTGTTATCCTCATCACCTTACTGTTTCCTATATTCACTTATAATTTCCATCTTTTACATACCCTACCAGACTCATCCACCAACCTCTGCAACTTATTTTCAGAATCTGCCAAAAGCACAGTGTCATCAGCAAAGAGCAACTGTGACAACTCCCACTTTGTGTTAGATTCTTTATCTTTTAACTCCACACATCTTGCCAACGCCCCAGCATCACTACTCTCACAACCCCATCTATATATATATTGAACAACTGTGGTGACATCACACATCCTTGTCTAAGGCCACCTTTTACTGTCTAACAACCACTGTGACATCACACATCCTTGTCTAAGGCCAAACCTTTTACTGTCCCCAACAACCATGGTGGGGCATCACACATCCTTGTCTAAGGCCACCTTTTACTGTCTAACAACCATGGTGACATCACACATCCTTGTTTAAGGCCACCTTTTACTGTCTAACAACCATGGTGACATCACATATCCTTGTCTAAGGCCACCTTTTACTGTCTAACAACCATGGTGACATCGCAAATCCTTGTCTAAGGGCCCCCTTTTACTGTCTAACAACCACGGTGACATCACACATCCTTGTCTAAGGCCCACTTTTACTGGGAAATAATTTCCCTCTTTCCTACATACTCTAACTTGAGCCTCACTATCCTCAAAAAAACTCTTCACTGCTTTCAGTAACCTACCTCCTACACCATACACCTGCAACATCTGCCACATTGCCCCCCTATCCACCCCATCATGCACCTTTTCCAAATCCATAAATGCTACAGAAACCTCTTTACACTCATCTAAATACTGTTCACTTATATGTTTCACTGTAAACACCTGGTCCACACACCTCCTACCTTTCCTAAAGCCTCCTTGTTCATCTGCTATCCTACTCTGTCTTACTATTAATTCTTTCAATAATAACTCTACCATACACTTTACCAGGTATACTCAACAAACTATAATTTTTGCACTCTCTTTTGTCCACTTTCCCTTTATACAAAGGAACTATGCATGCTCTCTGCCAATCCCTAGGTACCTTACCCTCTTCCATACATTTATTAAGTAAAAACACCAACCACTCCATAACTATATCCCCAACTGCTTTTAACATTTCTATCTTTATCCCATCAATCCCAGCTGCTTTACCCTCTTTCATTCTACCCACTGCCTCACACACCTTCCACACACACAGGATCACACACCTCTCCCCACACACAACTGGCTTTTCCTCACTCCTACCAGATGTTATACCTCCCTGCCCAATGCACAAAATCACAGATTCCTATTTTCATCAACATTTAACAGTTCCTGGTTAAAGAGAGAGAGAGAGAGAGGTTCCAGTGTGATACATAAGACCAAAGGAGCACTGCAGAAGACCTACTGGCCTATACAAGCCAGATCCTACTCTCAACCACAAAAGCTAGCTAGGCCTAACAGAGTAGCTCCCAGGGAGATAGGCCTACCTAGGTCTAGCAGGGTAGGCCCCAGGAAGGCCACACACATGCCAAATGACCAGAAAACAGCACAGTAGGTGACAGTTTGTAGACAGTTAGACCAAAACAGTTCAAGGAATTTGATGTTTCCGCCTGGAGATGGTGGTAGTTGCGATGGTGGTAGTTGCGATGGTGGTAGTTGCGATGGTGGTAGTCGCGACGATGGTAGTTGCGATGGTGGTAGTTGCGATGGTGGTAGTTGCGATGGTGGTAGTTGCGATGGTGGTAGTTACGATGGTGGTAGTTGCGATGGTGGTAGTTGCGATGGTGGTAGTTGCGATGGTGGTAGAGAAAAACAACAGGTTAGGTTCAAATAGAAGACATGTTAGTAGTAATATTAATTATACAACCCACAATACCATGACTACAACAATTCACAACTAACCCACAATACCATGACTACAACAATTCACAACTAACCCACAATACCATGACTACAACAATTCACAACTAACCCACATACCATGACTACAACAATTCACAACTAACCCACAATACCATGACTACAACAATTCACAACTAACCCACAATACCATGACTACAAACAATTCACAACTAACCCACAATACCATGACTACAACAATTCACCACTAACCCACAATACCATGACTACAACAATTCACAACTAACCCACAATACCATGACTACAACAATTCACAACTAACCCACAATACCATGACTACAACAATTCACAACTAACCCACAATACCATGACTACAACAATTCACAACTAACCCACAATACCATGACTACAACAATTCACAAATAACCCACAATACCATGACTACAACAATTCACAACTAACCCACAATACCATGACTACAACAATTCACAACTAACCCACAATACCATGACTACAACAATTCACAACTAACCCACAATACCATGACTACAACAATTCACAACTAACCCACAATACCATGACTACAAACAATTCACCACTAACCCACAATACCATGACTACAACAATTCACAACTAACCCACAATACCATGACTACAACAATTCACAACTAACCCACAATACCATGACTACAACAATTCACAACTAACCCACAATACCATGACTACAACAATTCACAACTAACCCACAATACCATGACTACAACAATTCACAACTAGCCCACAATACCATGACTACAACAATTCACAACTAGCCCACAATACCATGACTACAACAATTCACAACTAACCCACAATACCATGACTACAACAAAATTTACCACTAACCCACAATACCATGACTACAACAATTCACCACTAACCCACAATACCATGACTACAACAATTCACAACTAACCCACAATACCATGACTACAACAATTTCACAACTAACCCACAATACCATGACTACAACAATTCACAACTAACCCACAATACCATGACTACAACAATTCACAACTAACCCACAATACCATGACTACAACAATTCACAACTAACCCACAATACCATGACTACAACAATTCACAACTAGCCCACAATACCATGACTACAACAATTCACAACTAACCCACAATACCATGACTACAACAATTCACCACTAACCCACAATACCATGACTAAAAACAATTCACCACTAACCCACATACCATGACTACAACAATTCACCACTAACCCACAATTACCATGACTACAACAATTCACAACTAACCCACAATACCATTACTACAACAATTCACAACTACCCACAATACCATGACTACAACAATTCACAACTAACCCACAATACCATGACTACAACAATTCACAACTAACCCACAATACCATGACTACAACAATTCACCACTACCCACAATACCAGACTACAACAATTCACAACTAACCCACAATACCATGACTACAACAATTCACAACTAACCCACAATACCATGACTACAACATTCACCACTAACCCACAATACCATGACTACAACAATTCACAACTACCCACATACCATGACTACAAAAATTCACAACTAACCACAATACCATGACTACAACAATTCACAACTAGCCCACAATACCATGACTACAACAATTCACAACTAACCCACAATACCATGACTACAACAATTCACAACTAAACCACAATACCATGACTACAACAATTCACAACTAACCCACAATACCATGACTACAACAATTCACAACTAACCCACAATACCATGACTACAACAATTCACAACTAACCCACAATACCATGACTGCAACAATTCACCACTAACCCACAATACCATGACATACAACAATTCACAACTAACCCACAATACCATGACTACACACAATTCACAACTAACCCCACAATACCATGACTACAACAATTCACAACTAACCACAAAACCATACTACAACAATTCACAACTAACCCACAATACCATGACTACAACAATTCACAACTAACCCACAATACCATGACACAACAATTCACAACTAACCCACAATACCATGACTACAACAATTCACAACTAACCCCCAATACCATGACTACAACAATTCACTACTAACCCACAATACCATGACTACAACAATTCACAACTAACCCACAATACCATGACTACAACAATTCACAACTAACCCACAATACCATGACTACAACAATTCACAACTAACCCACAATACCATGACTACAACAATTCACAATACCCACAATACCATGACTACAACAATTCACAACTAACCCACAATACCATGACAACAACAATTCACAACTAACCCACAATACCATGACTACACAATTCACAACTAACCCACAATATACCCTCCACTAAAATACCACAATTCACAACTAACCCACAATACCATGACTACAACAATTCACAACTAACCCACAATACCATGACTACAACATTCACACTAAACCCACAATACCATAACAACAACAATTCACAACTAACCCACAATACCATGACTACCCAAAAATTCACAACTAACCCACAATACCATGACTACAACAATTCACAACTAACTCACAATAACCATAACAACCACAATTCACAACTAACCCACAATACCATGACTACCACAATTCACAACTAACCCACAATACCATGACTACAACAATTCACAACTAACCCACAATACCATGACTACAACAATTCACAACTAAACCCACAATACCATGACTACCAACAATTCACAACTAACCCACAATACCATGACTACAACAATTCACAACTAACCCACAATACCATGACTACCAACAATTCACAACTAACCCCAATACCATGACTACAACAATTCACAACTAACCCACAATACCATGACTACAACAATTCACAACTAACCCACAATACCATGACTACAACAATTCACTAAATAACCACAATACCATAACAACAACAATTCACAACTAACCACAATACTATGACAGCAACAATTCACAAAATAACCCACAATACCATGAATACCACAATTCACAACTAACCCACAATACCATGACTACAACAATTCACAACTAACCTACAATACCATGACACAACAATTCACAAATAACCTACAATACCATGACTACAACAATTCACAAACTAACCCACAATACCCATGACTACAACAATTCACAACTAACCCACAATTCCGCTCCATTACGACTAACCCCAATCATAACAAAGGGAAGTTATCAAATACCCACAATACCTGACTACTTATTCCACAAACCATGTAAAGTACAATCCATATTATGGATACAAAATTCTCAACTCAGAAATTTGGACTCAATTTGTAACTCAATACCATGGGTACACATTGACAACTGTACCACAATCCGTGGGCTTATTTGAAATAATCCGTACCATGGACTGACATTACGAACTAGCAGTCATGACTAAAAATTTGGATAGTAGCAATTACATGTAAAATCCCAAATAATAAAATTCATGGTTAGTAACATGTTAGACATCAATATTGTGGGAATTTCAATTAAACCACAAATTACCATGGGGTAGCAATTCGAATAACACAATTATTGTGGTAATTCTAACTAAATGTTGTACATCAACGTATTGCAAAATATGAGAAATTGTATCAACTAACCTACAATTACCCTGTACAATTAATTCTAGTCATGGTATTGTGGGCTCAGTTTGTGAATTGGGGGTTGTAGTCATGCTAATTGTTTTTGTATGTGGTTGAATTGTGGTAGTCATGGTATTGTGGGTTAGTTGTGAATTGTTGTAGTCATGATATTGTGGGTTAGTTGTGAATTGGTGTAGTCATGGTATTGTGGGTTAGTTGTGAATTGTTGTAGTCATGGTATTGTGGTTAGTTGTGAATTATTGTAGTCATGGTATTGTGGGTTAGTTGTGAATTGTGTAGTCATAGTATTGTGGGTTAGTTGTGAATTATTTGTGTCATGGTATTGTGGGTTAGTTGTGAATTATTGTAGTCATGTATTGTGGTTAGTTGTGAATTGTTGTAGTCATAGTATTGTGGGTTAGTTGTGAATTGTTGTAGTCATAGGGATTGTGGGTTAGTTGTGAATTATTTTTGTCATGGTATTGTGGGCTAGTTGTGAATATTGGGAGTCTGGTATTATGGGTTAGTTGTGAATTATTGTAGTCATGGGTATTTGGGTTAGTTGTGAATTGTTGTAGTTATGTATTATGGGTTAGTAGTGAATTATTGTAGTCATGGTATTATGGGTTAGTTGTGAATTATTGTAGTCATGGTATTAGTGGGTTAGTTGTGAATTATGTAGTCATGGTATTATGGGTTAGTTGTGAATTATTGTAGTCATGGTATTATGGGTTAGTTGTGAATTATTGTAGTCATGGTATTATGGGTTAGTTGTGAATTATTGTAGTCATGGTATTATGGGTTAGTTGTGAATTATTGTAGTCATGGTATTATGGGTTAGTTGTGAATTATTGTAGTCATGGTATTGTGGGTTAGTTGTGAATTATTGTAGTCATGGTATTGTGGGTTAGTTGTGAATTATTGTAGTCATGGTATTATGGGTTAGTTGTGAATTACTTGTAGTCATGGTATTATGGGTTAGTTGTGAACTGTTCCAGATATTAATACCAGCAAACAAAGCTCCCTAAATTCCACCAATATAACGACATTTATCTTCGAAAACATACATAGTCAAACGCCATCAACAAACAATAAAATTCCTCA